TCTCCCACAAATAAATCTCATGTTCGTCGTGCAAACAAGTGTAATTTATTTGGCAAGACATATTTTTCCAACAAAATATTATGGGAGAAATTTATTACAAATAAACCTTATAATATAAAATATATAAAGTTATTATAAGCCAATAAAAATTAGAATTTGGATACATAATCGTTATATTACTCTTAATAATTTGATTTGCTCCATATATGTTCAACTAAGTCATGACTTAGTTGATGATGGTCATGTCTGTCTTGCACTTTGGCTCGTATTTGCAAGGATCAACTAAAATTTGTTGGATGACTTTGATGTGTTTGGATAAACGGTTTACCATCGTTATTGGACCAGTTAGTTGTCTCTTCACCCTCGTCTTCAATTATCATATTATGTAAAATATAATACATGTTTCACTGAGATCTTCCTTGTACAAAAAACAAGTTGAACCACATACAATTGTCCACCTTGACTGGAGCACTCTGAAAGCATGTTCAACATCTTTTCTTGCCGCCTCTTGTCGTTCTTTTTCTCTTTGGATCCTCTGGACACTAAATTTTTTTCACAAATGTTGCCCATTCTGGATAGATACCATATGTTCAGTAGTAACATTTTTCTGTAGTGGGTTTCATTTATTATAAAATTTACCTCAAGTGCTACCCCATGTAAGAAATCGTTGAATAGTAGAAACTAATCTAACACATTAATATCATTTCGTGATCTAATGAGTCCAAACAAAGGCATGCTAGATCCACAAGTCTTGTGAAGTTACTGCTTCGAGCATTATCATGGGTACTCGATGTCCCCTCGAGTGTATGAGCCTTGCCAACACACCAGACAATTTTTCCATTTTCCAATGCATACAATCAAGACTCCCCATCATTCTCAAAAAAACATGCTTGTCCTCATGTAATATAAGTAACCGTTGGATGTCAACATCATTGGGTGAACGCAAGTATTAGGTTGCAAATATTTGTCGCACACACTGACAAAATTCAATGTGACTTCTATTTGCTGTTTGTTCTGACATGCATAAGTATTTATCACACTGATTGACGGGTGCTCCATATGCCAGTTGGCGCAGAGCAGTGATACACTTTTGAATAGGTGTAAATCATTTTTTACCATTCGCATCTTCGCTGCTCTTGAAATCATCAGAATGATTTCATAGAATTAACAATACAAAAAAATAATGGCCAAAAAAAAAAAAATAAAAAAATAAACATCTAGACATACGAAATTTACGACGAAAGAAGCCCTCGTGATAGGTGGGCTCGTTAGCAAAATAATCTCCTACAAGTAGAGTGTGTCCAGCTTCACGATCTTGGTGCATTACTCGCCTTTCTCGCCTTGCTGAATTTTCAGCTTGTTCAGCCTCTTGAAACTCATCCATAGCTGCCTCCATCAAGGAAATTCAACAATGCGAGATAATCATCAAACATATTATTCAATAACATGCGATATGCTACTTCGTCATTAGTACATCTAAATATCATATTGAAAAATAAAAAAAAATGGAGGAAAATGAGAGACTCGAGGAAAAGAAGAGTAAAAGAACAAGCAAAAAATGACATTGTTTGCTGAAGGTTGTGGTGTCTAAATGAATCCACCATTCAATTTTATAATGAGAAGATGAGATGTTAAAGTTACATTTTACAAGTGATAGGTTAGAACCACATGGTAAGGCGGCCGCGGCCTATGTGAAGGCGGGCGCGACGTTACACTCTTTACGAATGATTAAATGGCACCCACCGGACCCGGGCTGGATAAAAGTGAATACTGACAGAGCGTTTAGTTTAATCGTACTACGGGCCTGTGTGGTGTCGGG